CTTTCCTTTCCTTTCCTTTCCTTTCCTTTCCTTTCCTTTCCTTTCCTTTCCTTTCCTTTCCTTTCCTTTCCTTTTCCTGTTCCTTTTCCTTTTCTTTTCTTTCCTATCCTTTCCTTTCCTTCATTTCTCCCTCCCATTTCCTCCTTTCCCCTTTCTTTCTTCCCTCCCTCCCTTCTTCTGACATTCTGTCTTTCCTGCATGGGTTCACAGCCTGGGACCTCCCTTTAGTTCACCCCCAAAATAACACCCTGCAAAGAAGTGAGGCCAGCTGAGAAAATGCGGCCCCAATTCACCCAGGGTGGGTCACTCTAAAGCAAAGGGTAGATTTGAACCTGGATCTCCAAACACAGGGAATCCACTCCAGACGCCCGACTGCTTCAAAGGGCAGCGGCAGGATTTAGACTGAATTCTTTAAATGGGAAAAGTTGCCAAGATTTTTTGTGTGCAAATGAGCTTTTGTAGGGAGATTAAGATGAGTTTAGCAGGATTGCATTATCTAGGTCTCTAGGCCTGCCTTGTGTTTTTACAGAGATCCCCAGCACACTTTTGAAAAGAAAGTCGCGAGAGGCACATTTTTAGAATATATTTAAGTTGTCCTCTTTAAACCTCTGCTTTCGATTCTAGCTGACACTTTGGGCAGCTCACAAAAGGAAGAAGAAAAGAGTCCCACTCAACAACAGCCAACAAGAAAAGGAGTGAATTGTGTTTCCAGCTTATCACTAGCCAAATGCTTCCTCTGAACCTAAAGACTTCCAAAAGAGATCCCTCTTATTCCCAATATATTTACTGAATCTCCTCTCAAAGTGACCATCCCTACTTCTCTCACCAGGAAGTGCTAGAGTTTTAATCACCCTTTTATTCACCAGCTTCCTCTTCCCCCAAAAAATGTAGGTGCTCAATCCATCACCTTGTATAAAGATGTCTTCTCTCTTGGGGTCCTATCCTTTCCCTAAGGATTCTAAACATAGGTTGGTAACAACACATCGTAGTTGCAACCACCAATGGGTTCCATGATTTTATTCAATTTTCACTGCCTTGGGGGAAGGGGGAGATTAATTATCTTAGCCTCATCCCTACCCCGCACCCATGCTCTCACTTTAGACCTGCTTGGCTATAGATTGCATCACTTGCACACACACACACACACACACACACAGAGAGAGAGAGAGAGAGAGAGAGAGAGACAGACAGACAGACAGACAGACAGACAGACAGACATTTCTTGTCTGGGTCCCTCAGCAACTTGGGGTAGGTGGCAAATTTTCTTGCACACATATCTGCACACATTTCTTACACACATGAGTGCACACACACACACACACACACACACACATTTCTTCTTTGGGTGCCTCAGTAACTTGAGGTAGATGGCAAGCTTCTTATTTACTATTCATCTCTAACTCAGAATCCATTAAGAACAATTTCAAAAGCATCCCTTTGTAATGTATAATCTTGGGCATTTTTAATAGTTCCCGTGATTTTTTTTTTTTAGACCGGATTCCATCAAGTTGCCCTTCCAGTGTAACTTATCTAGCACCCATTCAACCAAAATCCTTAAACCTGGCATTCTTCACCATTGATTGGGGTTTAGAGTTGGCCTAGTACTTAGATAATCTGTGGTTCTAAACCAGAGGCCTTCAAACTTGGCAGCTTTAAGACTTGTGGACTTCAACTCCCAGAATTCCTCCTCCTCCAGTCATGTTAGCTCAGGAATTCTGGGAGTTGAAGTCCACAAGTCTTAAACTTGCCAAGTTTGAAGACCCTTGCTCTATATTATTTATGTAGATATATAAATAGCTAGTGGTAGCTAGCTATATACATATATCAATATATATTTTGATATATAGATATATACTACAGATATATACTCTAGATCAGGGTTCTTCAAACTTGACAACTTTAAGACTGGTGGACTTCAACTCCCAGGATTCCTCCTCCAGTCATGTTAGCTCAGGAATTCTGGGAGTTGAAGTCCACACGTCTTACACTTGCCAAGTTTGAAGACCCTTGCTCTAAACCCACTTTCCTGAAACCAGTACCCTCTTGAGATCACTGCCCAAGGTGGGCAATTTATGGTGGACCTCCGTGGGCTCGACGGGCGGGGAGTTGGAAGGGGCTGCAGGTTGCAGAAGCTTATTGGAAAGAGACTCCCCTTTGGGGGTCTGGACCACCTGGGTTTCTTCCCCCTCCCCAAGGCATCCTGGGAAGTGTAGTTTAGCCTCCTCTGTACCTTCAGCCCCACGTCCTGCGATTTGACGCCGGAGCGAGGATGGCCCCGACCGCCTCTGGGTGGTGCAGCAACGCCGGGCCTTTGTGAGTGAATTGCACGCTCGTTTTGGGGGGATGGAGAAGGGGGCGAGTGGGGACGGTCGGGCGGCGGTTCCGCATTTGGGAGCAGAAGAGGAGGAGAGGAAGAGGAGGAAGGAATGCTGAAGGAGGGAGAGAAAGGCTGGGATTTTGGGGGGTGGGGTGTCTCTGCATCCCCTCCAGGAATCGGAATATCCGGAGAGGGGCCACGGAGGGCTGGGTTGCAAGAGGAGCGACGCCCCCGCGGGTGCGCAAAACGCGTCCCGGAGGCTGCGGCGGGCGCAGGGCTGGCAGCAGCAGCAGCATCGCCCAGACGGTGCCAGGGGTGGGAGGAGCGCAGGATTTGGCCCCGCTCCTGCTGAGCTCCGAAGAGGGCAGCCGGAGGGCGCCTCGGTACCTTCCCGAGCGAGCGGGCTGGGTGGAGCGGCGGGGTGGGGGAGTCCCGGCGCCGTCGGGAAGCCAAAAGCCAGCACCAAGCCCGTTGGAGAGCGCCCCAGTTGGAGAGCGCGCGCGGAGAGGGTGGCGCGCACCTGGATGCCCCTCTCCGGCCGGTCCTGCTCGGGGGTCGCGGTGGGACGTCGCCCCGACCCCTGCCTCGCTTTCCCCGGGCAAGGCAAGAGGGAGAGGCGCTGGAGGAGACGTCACCAGCGGAGCAAACAAACTACCCGGGGGAAATGCAGCGCGCTCCTCGGCTGCGCTTTCCTCCTGCCAAGCGTCTCTCCCCTGCCCATCTTCCCCTCCGCCAGTTGCACCCCCAAAACACGCCTCGGACCTCCGTCCCGACCCCCGCCTGCCTTTTGCACGTCTCTCCCGGCGCCCCTCAAGCCGGCTCCAGAGCCGCGAATTGCGCCCCGGCGGTCGTAAGGACGAACCAGCCGCGCGCAATCACTTTGCGCGCAGAAGTTTTCGCCGCGCGGCAGCGCCGCGGCTGGCCGTCGGAAGCATCGCGCGCGGGAGGGGTGGGGGCCTGGGGAGCCAAGTCGGTTAGCGGGAAGGGGGGGGGGTCTCCCTTGAGCAGCCTCGCGCACCCACCCATCCAAAAAAGGGAGGGGCGCCTCCCTTCTCTTTTGCGCCCGACTAGCCTGTCTTTCCTTTCCAAAAGCAGAATTTTGGGGCGTCAGATGGAGGCGGCCATCCCTTGTGGATCAAAATTGCAATTCAGTTGGGTTGGGGGTTTGGGGGGGACACACACGCACGCACACACACGTTAAAAAAAAGACTTTGCAACCCACTTTTCCCACCCTGAAATGCCAGAATTTCAGTCTACGGTGGTGTTTTTTTTTTTTTTAATGCACTTTTTTAACCAGGCGGATTAAGAATTAGCCACATAACTTCACAGTGGGGTTTTTTTTTTCCTTTCTTCTATTTTTTTCCCCTCTCTCCCCCAAAGAGTGGTTCAACAACCAACTTTTGGAGTAGCCACATTCCAGAGCATTCACAGCTGGGAACGGCAATGTGTTCCCCTGTGCAGCACTGGGTGTGTGAGTGCGTGAATGTTTGTGGATTTTATGTATATGAGTTTACACCGGATTTGGTTTAACATGCATGCCCTTAAAATCATTGCTCTGCAAAGTTGGGAATCTCTCACTCTATTTTCCTTTTCTCTCCCTTCTTTTTCCCTGTTTTTTTTTTTTTTTGAAAAAAAATCCTTTGAAGGCAAGCCATCCCAAAAGGCATGGGAGAGAAGGACTTTGACCCCCCCCAACCCCCCCCCAAAAAACCCACCCAAGATACAATTTTGACTTACCTGACATTCTTCAGCAACAGAAAATGGAGCAATTGCCTTTCCACTCCCAACAGGGACCAAATCAAGGACACTCAGCTGGGCTCCCTAAAGCAGAAGGAAAATATGCAAGAAAACAGGAATTTTGGGATTAAAAAAGAATTCTAAAGCCTTGGTGCAGCTCTTGACTGGGAGACAAACAATATTAATCTTTTATACCTACGGATATAAGTTTGAATTTTTCTCCCCACAAGCCAAGTATTTAAAACCTCCAGAATCCATTGATTTGACAATCAAGGATTGCGCGATAGTTTCAATTTGAATATTCAAAGGCTTCAGAAAATGGACTCTCTTGGAGGAAAACCTAGCATAGCCCCATCTAGGACAGGGTCTGGGGGAACAAGATCCACCGGGCCCACCTCCCTGGAAGCCCCCCTTGGGGGTCCTGCCCAGCTTTTTAGCTCCCTGGCCCCAAACGAGGCAGGCGCCCCCAAAGAGAACCCACAGTTTTGCCGGTGCCAAATTCTAGGCCCTCCCTGGCACTTCCATGCCCCCGTCACCTGATGAGCCTTCCTTGCAACAATTTGGGGAGACCTGGGGATTGGGGTGCATTGGGGAGGGGCTGCCTGATGCATTTGTGGACAAAGAGGGCCTTGAAAAGGGATGTGGTGTGTCCAGGAAAAGAGCATTGTGTCCTGCAAGCAATAACTGTGGGTGACTGGGGGACCTCGTTTTGTGAGCTTTGGGGTCTCTGATGTGCCCCCCAGTTTTTACCTAACTGCCCCCCTTTTTTCCTCCAACGTGGGTGTGATTTTTAAACTTCTCCTTTGCAACAGCTACTCCGATTTGCATTGTGGGAGCGTCCTGTCTTCAGAAAGTTGGCTATTTCCACCGCCCCCCTGTTCTGGCCTTGCAATCACAGGCAAGGCAGGCTGAGGTTGATTGGAACTCCAGAGGAAATGTCTAAATTTTGTATCTGGATTCTTTCACGCCTTTTCCTCCCATCCCTCCTTTAGAAGGAACCCAGGACAGCTGAGTCAATGAAAAACCCAGCCTGCGTTGTTAATGATCTACTATGAATATAATTTGGCCGTTGTTCCCGATTCAATTTTTGTTTTGTTGAAAAATAAGGCTTCAGCAAATGGCCCTGATTGGAGAGAAAGCTGAATTCACGATGTGATTTCTTTTGGGCCAGGGTTTATTCTCCCAGAGCATCTTTTACACGTTGAAATGCTGTGTTCTCCTTCTATTATTATTTTTTAAATCAAACTGTGCATAATCTGGAAAGAGTTATGTGACACTGGAGAAGTGTGAGAAAGTAACCGGGAAGGATTTTATCAATGGAGAAGGCGGTTTGGGGGCTTGGCCACCCCTTAAAATTCAGAGACTGTCAGCTCGACATATGAAACTCCAAGTGAGGAAGAGAGGTGCTAAAACACAACCTAAAGGATTTATAAATTGCTGGGGGTGCTTGCCCAAGGATCTACCCCCCGCAACCATTCATCTCTAAAATAAGAACTTTCTAATCTAGAACAATATAGAATATAACATCTAAAATGATTTTTAAAACAAGGGCTGTCTCATGGTATGGATTCCTGACCTGTAATAATTGTGAAAGTTTAAAGGAGGCCTGCAAACTTTAACCTTGAGTTCTGGTCGTGGTATGAGATTGATTGATTGATGGCTCAATCAGTCAAATTTATATATCTGCCGATCCCATCAAAGGTAACTCTGGAAGGCCAGCAAGAATCAGTAAGAACAATAAATAAAAACCAAAAATGTACAGTAGGAAAAAAAAACCCTTATTAATAAATATCCTACAATCAAAAATGGATGCACTCTGCATATTTTCAGAAAAAGCAGCAGTGATTGAAAAGGAGGGCGGCATTTATTTTGCCTTTTTAAACAGTATGATTGGAGCTCTTGGTTCTCAAAATGCATGAAGGTATCTAAAAGGGAGATCTGCTGTTTAAACTGCAAAAATAAAACTGCGTGTTCTAGATTGATGGATGCCCAAATAAGAAAATATTCCTTTATTATTATTTGTTGGCTGGCAAAGAGAGATGGACAATTTTATTCCAAACAGAAGAGGTCATTTTTTTATTCAAAGAGGAAGCAAAGAAGACAAAGACAGTTGGAATTAAATGCTATTTTTTCATTTATGGGGAAAGTTGGCCTAACCAGTTTAGAACTTCAGTGCTATTTTGTTTTGATGTCCAGTTTCAGAAATGAGGTGGAAACTCCTGGGAGATTATGCAAAATTTGGAATTTTTCCTTTTCCCAGATCTATTGGGCTACAGTTCTCATCACTCCAAACAATAGTGCTAGCTGGGAATAAAAGAAATTGTAGTCTAGTAGATCTAGATGATGCTGACTGGGAAGAGACTGGACATTTATTGTTGCTCTTATGACATAATTTTTGACAGGGCATCCAACCTTGGCAATTTGAAAACCTGTGGACTTCAACTCCCAGAATTCCCTAGCCAACATGGCTCACTGGAAAATTCTGGGCGTCAAAGTCCACAGATCTTAAAGTTGCCAAGTTTGAAGACCCCTGGTTTAGAATCTAAATAGTGCCTTATCAACTTGAGTCATTTCCAAGAGGTAAAAATGGTTGAATGCGAATGGACTTTTTCCAAAACTCAACCAGGGAATCCTAATTCCTGGAGCATCAAAAGTCACCAAATTTGGAAATAATCCTCTCTAAATTTCAGGAAAAAATCAGCATGAGTATGCATAGGACTGGAGTTCATAGTAATAAGCCCTGGCCTTTGATCTACATCCATCTTTATTTTCCTTTCTCCTCCTTGCCTCTTTATCTTTGCTTTTTAACATTGGTTAAAAGTTGACTTAGCAATATATCTGGTTGACATAGCTGGTTTCCTGGATAGCAATTCTCAACTTTGGCAACTTCAAGACGTGTGGACTTCAACTCCCAGAACTCCCCAGCCAGCCACTGCCTTCGACCATTTGTGTCTTTCCTAAGGATTACGGCTAATTTACCTACCAAGTCATCTGCTTTCCATCCATTGTGGGCTTATTTAAAAAAAAGCAGTTCAGAAATGCAGACCTGACCTGCAAGCACCGGAAATTGTGACTGGGGAATTCTGGGAATTGGAGTCCATACATCTGGAAATACCCACGGTTGAGAGATCGGGCCTTAAAGAAACTGAGGGACTTGCCAAAATTCCACCTTGACTATATAGGTAGAGGATGATGGAGATCTGTGTCCCTGGAGCTGAATGGCATAATTCAAAGGACTTTGCACTGCTGTGTCTTCTCTACCAGAGAAGTTTTCAAGGAAGTATGGCTGGCTGGGGAATTCTGGGAGTTGAAGTCCAGGCATCTTAACAGAATAACAGAGTTGGAAGGGACCTTGGAGGTCTTCTAGTCCAGCCCCTTGCTCAGGCAGGAAACCCTACACCACTCCAGACAAAGAGTTGTCCAATCTCTTCTTTAAAAGCTCCCATGTTGGAGCACCCACAACTTCTGAGGCAAGAAGTTGTCAAGGTGGGGAAAACCATGTTTTAGAAAGATGCCACCCATTGCAAGACTAGAGTCTCTACTGTACAACCAACAGAAAGACAGACGCCCCAGCGATGGCCTTTCCTCTTCCACACAGACTGCCGGCTAATGCCTTGGCTACAAGCCTGTGCGGCTGTGTGTGTCCTGCAGGCAGTTGCTGGCCGCAGAAAACTGGGGCAGTGCCCAAACAGCAGATTGCAGGCAGAGGAGGACTCTTATCGAGAGAGAGAATCTGTTCCGGACAAGCCCAGACCACCCCAACTCTACTCCACCTGCCTTCCTTCCTGAATCCAGCTTGTCTTGAGGCCAAAGTCCAGGATGGCTGGAATGCCTTGGCTTGACAAAGGCCTCCAAAGGAGATGTCGCAACAGCCTGAAGAGCGTGTGTGTGTGTGTGTGTGTGTGTGTGTGTGTGTGTGTGCTGCATACCCAGCAGGCTGAGGTTGGTTTCCATTCTAGCAAGTTGGAACAGGACTTTTGAGGAGAAGAAAGGAGACAACCAAGCCCTCCAAGGAAGGGAAGGAATGCTTAAGAGGGGCAGGGCAGAGGTTGAAACTTTGGACCTGGAGTCCAGCTGGATTTGGATGTCCTCCTGCCTCGTTCTGGCTGTCCGCGGTTTGCTCAATATCTGAAGAACCTGGTAGAGTTTGAATCTGGTCATAAAAGGAGATCATAAGAACGTTGATGGACCTGCTTGGCAAAAACAAGGCTTAGAAATGAGCTTTGTAGATCTCATCAGTTTTCCTTCTTTCCTCCCCTCCTTCCCTTCTTTTCACTCTTTGTCTCTCCTCCCTCCCTCCCTCCTTCCTTTCCCCATCTCTTTGTCCCTTCCTTCCTTCCTTCCTTCCTTCCTTCCTTCCTTCCTTCCTTCCTTCCTTCCCTCCCTCCCTCCCTCCCTCCTTCCTTCCTTCCTTCCTTCCTTCTCTTTCTGTCTTGGTTGCAATGAAGCCAACAAAAACTGGACGACATCAAGGGTGTGTATTTCACATTTTTATTGGCTCGTGACCAAGCCTTCTATTTCTACACTTCCGTATATTAATACATTAAACAAGGGAGTGTTCCAAACAACATACAGTTCAAAGCCAGCCAGTCCCCAGTGGGTCCTCCGCCCCTTCATTCATTCTGGAAAATGGGACAACTGGAGCCTGTGTTTTACTGGGCTGCAGCAACTGGTCTGCAGGGCCAGTTGTGGTCCTGGGATAAGTTTCTTCTCCATCCACGGATCCAGCTGGTTCGAAATGTCCCCAGTTGCAACCCAGCCTTCGATGCAATTGGCTATGTTGACACATTTTAACCACCACTGCACCATGATCAAAAAGGGAGCAAGGAAGCACAGTCTGGGAGAGAAAACCGCTCTTTTCAAAAATGCTCCTCAGAGGATTTCGTGAAGGTGTTCCAAAGTCACCTGTGAACACAATCTGGTGTGCAGGTGCTTGGAATTCTACCCTGTGGTCCTTTGCAGTTCTGATCTCCAGAAATCCTGCCTAGGTCCTGTTTGTTTGGCTATTGGGGGCGGGGGTGTGTGTCTCTGTTCAAAGCATTATGGAGTCTTTGCAGACCATTATGGAAGGGGGCATAAAACAATCACCACCCCCTCTCAAGGGGGGGCCATTGGGCTGTGTTTGCAGAGGAAGCCCCCCCTGTGGTTCAACTGGAGGAGTCCCTTGCAAAGAATCCGGGATCTTTTAGCAAAGACCTCCATCTGCCGGCCAGCAATGAGAATGCAACGCTCCTCTTGGGGAGCAACTTACCTGGGATAAGGGAAAAAAGCATTTGAGCAGGTTATACCTTTCTGCTAGTTTGATTTAAAAAAAAATGCTTTGAGTTAAGGGGAACAGGGGAAGAGTGCTCTCTTTACAGTACTGTGGGGAGAAATTTAACCAGAGCACAGATTCAGTTCTTCCCTTTGTGTTTCTGGACTGGCGTCCTTACAAGGGGATAAGATTCCAGGTTCAACCATTGTACTAACCACGGTTTGATGAGATGAGTTCATAGTAACCCCAAACCAAAACACAATGTGGCAAGCAGGAAGATCCGGGTCCCACGGTGTCTTTGAGAAACAACTTCCTTAAGGCGGGCTTCCCTTTCAGCACATGTTAAGGTGTTCGGCTGGAATAGAATCCTAGAGTAATAAGAGGTGGAAGGGACCTTGGAGGTCTTCTAGTCCAACCCCCTGCTCCAACAGGAGACGCTGTACCATTTCAGACAAATGGGTCGTCCAGTCTCTTTTTCAAAAGTGCTGGAGCACCCACAGTTTCTGAAGGCAAGTCGTTCCACGGATTAACTCTTCTCCGTGTCAGGAAATGTCTCCTTAGTTCGAAGTCGATTCCTCTCCTTGATGAGTTTCCATCCGTTGCTTCTCGTCTTGTCGTGTGTCAATAAACAGGATTATGATTCGGGCTGGGAACCTCAGTAGCATCAATCCAGCATTGCCTGAGAGCCAGGTTAGGGGTCCATGAGTCCACTTGGAGGGTTGAGATTCAATGAGCGCAAAAAGGAAACGTTTCTTGCTTTGCCAGGGGTGGGTTCTAGAAGGGAGGGTGAGGACAGTGCATTGTTGAAGGCAACTCGCGTGTGGAACATTTGCATGCGCAGCTCCATCTTGTGGCCACACATCACCCTGTCTGTCAGTACCTGTCGCTCTGCTTATTGTGCTTCAAAGATGTCCTTCGTGCCCTAGTGTTGGGGAAAGGATGCTACAGGCTGCCCAAACATCCATGAAAAGATAGCAGCGGGACCCTTCATAGGGGGTTTTATAGTGTACAGGTAATCCTCGATTTACAACAATTCATTTACTGTTTGGAAGTTACAACGGCACTGAACAAAATGACTGACAACTAAAAACACTTCTTTGGTCTTTTTAGTTGCCAGCAGAAAGGGAGTGGGGGGAAAACAGTGCATTCCTTAAATGCTTCAGATAAATCGCTTTGGCAGCCGAAGCTTCTGGCGCACAAGATTATTACTGGAGAGCATGATTGACACTCGTGCATGTCAGAGTCCTGACAACAACTTATGGCCTTGTTTCACACTTATGACTGTTGTGACCTTGTTTCACACTTATGACTTGGCAACTGGCTCATATTTATGACAGTAGCAGCATCCCAGAATCAAGCGATCACCTTTTGCGACCTTCTGTCAATGGGGAAGTTAGATTCAAGGTGGATTTAAAGGAGACCTGCTTGCTTTCATTATGTGGCTCCATCTTTAAGGGCCACTTTAGAGATGCAAAATTCAGAATTCTCCCCTTTGGTCGAAGTCAAAACCTGCTCAAAGAAATCACCCTCCGTGGTTCTGTTCTGTGACTTGTTGGGAGAAGAGGAAGTTTGTTCTGGTCATGTACTTGTTCTGTCCAAACCTGGCAACTTTAAGACGTGTGGACTTCAACTCCCAGAATTCCCTAGCCAGCATAGCATAGTTGCCAAGGTTGGAGACCCCTGGCATAGTGTAGCATAGCATGCTGGGCAGTGGTGGGATTCAATTTTTTTTTACTACCGGTTCTGTGGGCGTGGCTTGGTGGGCGTGGCAGGGGAAGGATACTGTAAAATCTCCAGTCAGAGGTGGGATTTGCCGGTTCTCCAAACTACTCAAAATTTCCGCAACCGGTTCTCCAGAACTGGTCAGAACTTGCTGAATACCACCTCTGCAGCTGGGGAATTCTGGGAGTTGAAGTGCACAAGTCTTAAAGTTGCCAAGGTTGGAGACCCCGATACGAAGAATGGCAGATGACATAGAGAACTATCAGAGAATGGCATGTCTGTGAAATGTATTTACAAAAGTACAGTAGGTATGTTGCTCAACCACAGAGCAGCTAAGTAGATCAGGCATTGCAAACCCAACTTTTTGGCCGTTCGTCCTGTGCTGTCTATGCTAATTGGGCCCAGCTCCGCCCTGATGCCTCCCACTTGACCCACTGACATCTTCTGCAAGCAAAGAAACATGGTTTCCATGAGCCAGGGTTGCCCATACACAACACAACCTTGCCATAACTGACTTTTGATTGTTAGTGTTGGGATGATAGGGATGTGATTGCAAGGAAGCCTCAACTAGGTTGGATCTGGCTTTGAACCAGTGTAGCTTTGAAGGCCTCGAACCACCTTCCAACTTCAACATTTGTAGCCGTGGCTTCAACAAAACAGAAACCAAGTCTTGGCTGCCTCTCCTTTCTGCTCAGTAAGTCCTTCGTTCCTCATAGGATCCCCAGAGAAGACTCGGGTCTTCCTTGGGCCAGAAAGAGCTGCTATCTTGGAGAGCGGCTGTATCTGAAGACTCCTCAGAAGACCCTGGAAGCATCTTGAGACCAGGGAGGTCATTGGCTGCAGCAGCCGTGAAAGAGGAGAAGGGCGAGTTTGAAGAGGCAGAGAAAACAGCTGGATACTGGACATCTTCAAGCGGGTGAAAGGAATAAGACTGGATTCCAGAGAGGGTTAAATTCCAGTTGGGGTTTCTACAGTGGGAAGCTGTCCCTGGCTCATGAGCTGAAAGGCAGCTGGAGGCTGGAGCTACTTGGAGAGGTTCTGGACATGCTTCCAACTGACCAAGGTTGTCCGGCATAGATTGTTCCCAGGAGTCTCTCTGCTGGAGGAAGGAAGAGGGGTGCATTTAAAGATCTAAAAGTGTTGAAGGAGAATAACCGTCTCCAAGATACTTTTAACTTGCCTACACAAAGGAGCACATCAAGATGGCTCAATTACCATTAATCTTTTCATCACTCCTTATTGCCCATCCCCTCCCACTTGTGACTGTATGACTGTAACTTTGTCGCTTGTATCCTAACGATTTATATTGACTGTTTCCTAGTATGACTTGATGGCTTATTGTACCCTGTGACCATCATTAAGTGTTGTACCTGATAATTCTTGACTCTTGACGAATGTCTCTTTTCTTTTATGTGCACTGAGAGCATTTGCACCAAGACAAATTCCTTGTGTGTCCAATCAAACTTGGCCAATAAAGAATTCTATTCTATTCTATTCTTAAACTATCCCCTATTGACCTTACCCCATTCCTACGAGGTCTGTAAAGGGCGTGCATAAGCGCACCATCATGCCTACCATCCCTGTCCTATTGTCCCCATTTATTTATACCTATTTCCTGTATTCATACTCATGTTTATTCTTATACCTATTATCTTGTAAGTGATTGACAAGTCAAATAAATAAATAAAAAACTCAGAATTTGAGGTGAGAAGTTCTCCAGTTCTATCTATCTATCTATCTATCTATCTATCTATCTATCTATCTATCT